ACTGCACGCAGCAACGCCTTCTCCGAGGATGGCGGCCGCGCATTCCAAAACTTCTCAGCAGAGTCCCAATTTGCTTTATTGACAAAATGCGAAAAAGCGAGGGCCCAACAAAGAACATCGCCGCCCCCGCCTTTCGCGTCTTTGGAAACTCTGTGTATCTCATCAGGCTTCCCGACAGCCAAGTAAGACTTTGCCAAGTGCAGATAATCTTCGGCGGAACGGTCACGAGGATAGATTCTCCGAAACACCCACTGAGCCCGTAGATTGTTGCGCAACAGTGTCGACCTACTCAAGTGAGCCAAGAAAGCCGGACTCACATCTTTCGGTCGGCGAGCTGTCTCATAAAGGTCCCACGCCCTGTCATAGTCTCCATAGATACCCGGTTTACTTTCATTGAGAATTGACCGAAGCTCTTCCTTGGCTCGAATTCGTTCGAGTTGATTCGCCCTCCTTGTATCAAGATCCACCACAGGTTTATCTGGAACGACGGGCTTGTAGAGGCTCGCAGCCACCGATGTGTAAGCCCTGGTGAGAGCAGGTATCAGCTTCTTCTTGCGTCGTAGGGCAAGTCTCCGGGGCGGGCGTAACAAGAGCGATGCAGCAAATTCCTGGGTACGTGGAGGATACAGGAAATCGAGAACAGGGGTCCATGGATCGGCAGTTGCTTGCCTCGCCTTCCAAGAGACGGAGATTATCGAATCCTGGTGGTCTGATGTTTTGGAGGCCGAGTGTGGCAGATGTGCAGCCTCCGCAGTTGTGCCATTGCTCTGCGCGAAATGAGGATACCAAGATCTTCGACTCCGAAGTGCCCCTTTGGAATCCCGGAAGAAACGCCGACCTGCGTTCTCAAGGCATCCGGCAGCCCGTTCCAGCATTACCCTGAAAAGTCGCGGTGCCAAACCCTGAAATCACCGATTTTCAACTGAAGAGCGTAACATATCTGAATCAAGCCCTTCAAGAAGCCGAGAGAACGACAAGCCAGCCGATGTGTCGAGTCTTCGCAAAGCTCCCAGCTGAACGATCGTATCGAGAATGATTGAACGATGCAGGAAGGTCACGAAATTACCACCGACGAGGCCACGGAACCAGAAAAAAGAGAAAGGGCAATTCTTTATCGGTAATTCAATCAATTCTGTTGTATCAAGATGCAGGTTTAGAGTATTCTGTGAGTGATATGATGTGATGCTTGCAGCAGACGAAATTTTGACGGGTCGGGCATATGAGCTTGGACGATGCAGCAAAAGAAGTTCCCGCAAAATGAGCCGGGCATTCGTTTGGCCGAGATCTGACCACGCCCGCTTACCCACCCGCACTTTGGACTATCCACATCGATTCCAAGCGACCACGATTCCCGACCACCTCTGTCTGTGTGGTGGCCTGCTTTCAGTGAATATGGAAATTACGGATTTCGTTTTCAAACAGAGAGAGGACGTCCTCCTCGCCGGAGACTACAACGCTTACCGGGCGCACACAACACGCAGGTTGCACAAACTCCGCAAGAAGCTCGGCCAGACTACTCCTAAAGGTCGTAAATATACTGCCAAACCTCCCGTCACTGCAGAGGATATTAGCAGCAATGTGGCGTATGTGTCCTCCAATATGCTCGGGTGTGGCTAAAGAAATAATGCTGAAACATACTGACGGATCTGTCCCCAAGATATGTACATGTCCTTCTTCTCAGCTCTGAGCGAGCTTGGGCACAAGCAATGCACATGAAATCCACGCATTCAGCCGACCCCTCAGCGAAAGGAATTGCAGGTTCGGCCAGGCGTCATATTGTGTCTCGTTTGAATAAGGCATCCGGCTACTCTCAGCAATTGGTCCTTCTGTTAGAGGATCAAGCAACTTCCGGTGCTACTGATACCGACATCCTTGAAGCCCGTGCTTACCTTGCTTCACTTCTGGGCGCCCTATACTTGGAGAAGCGGAAATGGGAACAATGCATTCAGAGCTATGCTGTCTCAAGGATTATCTATACGACACTTAGCCGAGAGGACAGAAAAGATGCATTCCGGGATCTTCTCACTGGCACTATTGATCCCAGTATCAGATACGCAGCCTATCAGATGAAGCTTCCCCGATCAAGGCCTCTGTCCTCTTTAGCGATCCAGTACTTCCCATCCGATGCAAACATCCGGTCGGAAGTGGAAAGAGTGGATCCCGATTGTCTCAAGGAGGATATTGCAGGGACGAGAAAGACTGCCGACGGAGAGATCCAGCAGCTACCTGAGAGTATCACTTGGAGGTCGCGGACTGTTACTCTGGAAGATGCCGCAATCTCGCAGGCTCTTGCTTCTGCAGCTGCGGCAGAATCGCGTCTCAAGTCTTGGCTTGCGGATGTGGAAGGGAAGTCGGCTTCGTCAAAAGACAAAGCTGCCGCCTATGACAGTGTTATCATTGCCAGCCAGGACGCAGTCGACGCTACTAAGACTGCCATCGATGATTTAGCTAATGAAGGGGTGGAGCCTAGCGATAAGAGAATGCAAAGCTTGCAAATCACTCGTACCGCGGTCAACTATGCCTTGGTGGGATGGAGAATCGGACGTAACCGGGTTCTGTGCGGTGCTAACGACGGCATGACCTTTGAAACTGACAAAGCCGAGGGCCTCAAGAGGGGAAAGGGCGCAATTCGGGAGGAGTCGACTGGGAAGAAGTTGACAAGGCTACGCGAAAAGGTTGTGCTATATGACTCTATTTTGCAGAGCATCGAGTTCATCCTGGAGTTACCTGGTGTTGCTGCGGACTCCACCTTTGTGCAAGAGCTGGAAGCCAAACGCTGCTACTTCCGTGCTTTGAGGTATGAATATCGAGTTTCGCTGGCCGTTACAATTCATGCTAATTGACTATGCCACAGATGTTTGTCTATTGCGCAGTCTCATTGCTACCTTGGAAACTCGAAGAACGCTCTTGCACTCTACTCGCAAGCGATGCAGCTCACCACTCAATCGACAGTGTCTGACCAGTCATCGCAACTGTCAAACGAGCCATTAAGGCTGGATGTCTCGCACAGCCAGGTTCAAGCTCTCGGGTCGATTTTGCAAGGTCTTGTCGCACAGTACCGGGGTCTCGTCACCTTGGAGAAGATGGCAGCCGAAGGTCCTCAGACAGGAAACCAGCGCCCGGTGATAGAACGCCTGCACGAGTTTTCCGGTGATAATGTGGATTTGAGTAACCTCGTCCCCTATCCGCCTAAAATGCAGCCCATTCCGGTCAAGCCACTGTTCCTCGATGTGGCATGGAATTACATCGACTATCCTCGAGAAGGTGCACACGCTCAAGAAGAGGCCCAACTCCCCATGGAAACAGGAACAGAGGAGAAGAAGGGAGGACGACGTGGCTGGTTTGGGTTTGGGCGCTGATATAAGGGCGAACCTGCTGCATATCATTGTTTTCTTTGGCACTTGATCACCGGTGCTCAAGAGAATACCTGCATATTATTTGCGCAGTCATCACTGCTATGAGAGTATTTGAAATGAAGGGAACCCATGCAGCGACCAATGCTGAGATGAGATGCTATCATGGAAGTCGAAAAGATCTGGCGTATGAAGTAACGATGTTACTTTTAACACTTCGCTTTTGCATTATTGCCCAGGAGAATTACAGGAGAACCCTGAGGTTCTAGGCTGGTGCCTTAGGTGTCTTTTAGAGTAGTCCCATATAAAAGAGAAGCGATCCGATGGACACGTGCCCCGGAAGCGTAACAGCCGAATCAGCTGTCAAATACCAATAAACTAGGCACCTGGTGACAAGATGACTCGAATACAGTCCCCGAATACTCCTTCTGCAAGGGCCTAGAAGTGGCTTACACTGGACCAATCTCATTGCTATCGCATGATTGTCGATTGGACGAAACTCCTGGCTGTACTACCCCGACTAAATAAATATGGTAAGCTTCTACGGGAAGCCTTGCGCCTGATTTAAGGGTGATTTTTATTGGACTTAGGTCAGCACGTTCCGGTAGATAAGTTAACTTATTTGTTGATCTGTGTCATAAAATACTTACTGTTGGATGTTCGTCAAGCCAATCTACGTTCATGGAAGTTTTGAACAATGGTTAGGCTTCTTGAACAGCCTTGCCTTCGTCAAGTCTATTGATCTCCAGTTACTATCTACGTAGATAAGCTTTGCTAGTTTGAGGTGGATTTCAATGCAACTTAATTGTACTGTTATTATCAACTTACTATGGGTATCTGGGGCACGCGCTCTAGCCCGTTATGTCAACTCAAAGGGCGCTGAAGGCCCATCCCATTTCAAGACAGCGAGATCCTCCCTACCAAACTTGCGATGTGAACATACATGTGAAGTTGCAAAGAGCGAACAAGCAGGGCATACTTAGTGTTACCGGACCTCCGCATTTCATATGTCTACATTTAGCTTATTTCAGTAGTCGTCGCAGTACCTCCGTACCATGTACAGATATTCAAATTTAATACCTATGCGCCGCGCCAGTATTGGTCTGATGGGTATGGTACTATTGGTTCCCTTAAAAACCCATCGTCTTGGCGTGATACGCCAACGGAATGGGGACTTTGGTCTTCCGGTCACACAGACATCGTATTTTATGATTGGTTTGCGGATCATTTACAGTCTCAGGGGTAAAGCAAAAAAAAGTAAAATGACAAAGCACGGTGGTTTGGATCCTGACGCCCTGCCCTCTCTTTGGACGCGACCTTTTATCAACGAGGATGATGATCCATACGACGTACTCCGTTAGGTCCTTTCCGTAATTTGGATATTTTCAATCCCTTCTAGGTAGCCTACTCCGTACCAAGATATCGTACTCGTTCAAAGGAAACTGCATATCTGGTCGCTTAGGCCTCGCCGTACCGGGAACCGTCCTATCCGCGGCGTCTAATTTCCCTAGCATAAAAGAAATTGGGATTCTTTTCCCCCTCCCGCGGATTTATTAATAATTATTTATGATAACTACATCTCCCTGAATTTTTGGGTGTGAAGCCAATCTCCCTCCTCCATCCTTCCTATACCGCGTGCTATTCGACATGGCCAACGTCAACGGGAGCTTTGTCTCCCCTTCGGCTGATGCCACAATCTCTCCTCAGCTCTTCTACAACGTCGACTCTCTCTCTGCAGTTCTCAATGGTTTCACTTTCTGGAAGGCTCTGGCGACTTTGTTCTTTGCAGCTGTTATCTATGACCAGCGTAAGCAGGACCCGACCCGTCTCTATTGCGACGAGACCGGCACATGATATTCTGGACAAAATGACTGATTTTCTCCGGGTACAGTGCGATACTTTTATCTCAAGGGCTCCCTTGTTGGGCCAACCTTCAAATTGCCTTTCATGGGACCTTTCCTCCAGTCTGTGAACCCCAAGTTTCACGAATACAAGGCAAAATGGGACAGCGGCGAGTTGAGCTGCGTTTCCGTCTTCCACAAGTAAGATATAGACATCACCCTGAACGGGAAACTACATTTCCCTCCGTTTTCTGAGCTTGTTTCTGACAGCATCGCCTTGTAGGTTCGTCGTCATTGCGTCCACTCGCGACATGTCGCGTAAGATCTTTAATTCGCCAGCTTACGTCAAGCCTTGCGTGGTAGACATTGCGCACAAGCTCCTGGGCCCGGACAACTGGGTGTTTCTGGATGGCAAGGAGCACGTTGAATTCCGAAAGGGATTGAACGGTCTCTTCACCCGCTCGGCTCTGTCTTCCTACCTCCCCGTTATGGAAGAATGTTACAACAAGTACTACAAGCATTTCCTGGAGAAGTCCAAGGCCAACGATTACAAGCCCGAGCCTTGGATGCCCGAGTTCCGTGAGCTCATGTGTGCGGTCTCTTGCCGCACCTTCGTCGGTCACTATATGACTGACGCGGCCATCAAGAAGATTGCGGATGACTACTACATGATTACGGCCGCTTTGGAGCTGGTCAACTTCCCGTTCATCCTCCCCTTCACCAAGGCCTGGTACGGAAAGAAGGCGTCGGATATGGTTCTCGAAGAGTTTTCCAACTGTGCTGCCAAGAGCAAGGCTCATATGGCCGCTGGTGGAGAGGTCACCTGTATCATGGACGCATGGGTCAAGGCTCAGCAGGATTCTGCCAAATACAACGAGAAGATTGCCAAGGGACTCCCTGTGGAAGACTCTGAGAAGCCTTCTCACTTGCTCCGTGAGTTCACCGACTACGAGATCGCCCAGACTGTTTTCACTTTGTTGTTCGCCTCGCAAGACGCCACCAGTGCGGCTTGCACCTGGTTGTTCCAACTCGTGGCCGATCGTCCCGACGTTCTTGAGAAGATCCGAGAAGAAAACTTGCGCGTGCGCAACGGCAATATCAATGCTCCTCTCACTATGGATCTGGTCGACGAGATGAAGTACACTCGTGCTGTCGTCAGGGAGACTCTGCGTTACCGCCCGCCCGTTATCATGGTTCCCTACTTGGTCAAGAAGGATTTCCCAATTACCGACTCCATCACCGTCTCGAAGGGTTCCATGATCATTCCATCGGTGTGGCCTGCCACCCACGACCCAGAGGCGTACCCTAATCCCGACTCTTTCGACCCGGACCGCTGGATCACTGGCGATGCCGAAAAGCAAGCCAAAAACTTTTTGGTTTTCGGCACCGGTCCCCACTACTGCCTGGGTCAAACATATGCTCAGCTGAACTTGATTGCAATGATTGGAAAGGCCAGTCTGGAAATGGATTGGGAGCACGCTCCCACTCCCCAGTCTGAGGACATCAAGGTGTTTGCCACAATCTTCCCAGAGGTATGATATTCACCCACTTTTCTGTCTGCTATGCACTCTAACTCGGTTTTAGGACGATTGCCACCTCACATTCCGTCCCCGTGCATGATCTCTCTCATCACTCACGTGGTCTAGCCTTGATGTCTTGGTCGACACCGTCAGCAACACTGCATTCGCTGGCATTCTGCGAAGCATGAACGGCCAATTGATGATCATCCGGCGTCTGTTTCTATCCTGGAGATAGAGTGATGAGGACATCTTTCTTCCATTCAATTGTTCTATTATTCCATACAAAAGTCACTGGGTCTATCAAATTGCGGAAGAATGCCAGGAATGGAGATGTTCGGCATTCTTCTTGACGAACCATGCTTATCCCAGGGCTCAAGGAGTCCCGAAGGTATATGATATGACGCGATTCATGCGGAATCGTCTGCTTCAGTCAGAAAGCTGAAGCAATGGCATCTTTAGATTATGCTACTTAGTAATATTAATTATCCAGATTCTCCATTCTTGTCATGTTTGGTTTCGAGCACTCTTGTGCTCGAGGCGCATTTGGTTGTAAATAGATTTGCCTACATATGTATGAGTTCTGTTGTCAATGCTGATTGGCTTTTTCAGACCAATGTGCAATTTCAGTAGCATGTTCAGCATGATAGGCGTCATGGACCATGAGCTGTGCGGTGAGCTACCTGCGACAGCCATTGATCGTTTCAATTTGACGCAAGTGCACAAGTAGTCTTCAATGTTAAGTTTAACCTACTATTTTAGTACTGCTGCCAGGTTCATCATCCCACATTTCGTCGTACGTACACTTTACATTGGTGTTAGTAGCTTGGACGGCAGTTACGTTAACGGTAGGGAGTATATACATTTCCGTTGCAAGGTCAAGCCGTATTCAATGATGTCGACGGCGCACAACATCTAGGACTCCTGCCGCAAGACAGCAGCAAGAAACCAATTCAAATACTCATCCGGGGAAGTAATGGTCATAAAAACTAGAAATCAAGTCCAATGCGCTTCAACATCCTACTACAACCATTCATTGAGCCGAGCAAGATTCTGGGTCTGAAGCGGTAGGCGGTGATATTGCGGAAGATTGACATCACATCACCCACCGAACCCGGTGCCAGAAAGCCGAGCTACGGAGTACATCAATCGGATAGCTTCATCTCGCACATCCGGATATCTATCTGCGTGAGTCAGCTTGAGAAATTGATTATCCGTTCGGTAAGCTTATATTTATTTCTTTGTGATTTGTTTTTAGATATGCAAGAATGACTAAGCGAGAAACCCCCGCGGTGAACCTCTCTTATCGGCGCGGAGAACCATCGCTAACAACCATCTCAAGACAATAGATCACTACAATCATGGCCTCGGTACTCTCAATCCGGCGTCCCATCGCCGCTCTCGCAGCACGTACTGCAAAGCAAACCTCCCAGAAAGCGATCCCCCACGCCGCCGTAACGGCCCTTCTGTCCTCACCGGCCAGCCCGCGAAGCTACTCTACAGCGCCGAGGCCCCAAACCGCAAGGCTCGCGCTCGCATCGAGCAATATCAAACAGCATCTCTCACACCAGCAGCAGACCATCCGCCGCATCAACCACAACACAACCAAGCCACTCCGAAGCTGGAAGTTCGAAGACGTATGCCCTGTCCTCCCAACAGCCGCTGCACCAACAGACTCAACGCTAACAAATGACTTCTACAGATCAACGCCGCCCTCCCATCCGACCCTACCGGACCCCCATCACCCCCAGCAAGCCCGCAAAGGAAACTCATCCTCGTTGACGTCCGCGAGCCAGCTGAACTCACCTCCACCGGTATCATCCCCACCGCCGTAGCCGTCCCGCTAGCCTCGCAGCCCGATGCGCTCTTTCTGACGCCGGACGAGTTCGAGACACGCTTTGGGTTCCCGAAGCCTGGGATCGAGGAAGAGGGCGATATCATTTTCTACTGCAAGGCGGGCGTGAGGGCCAAGACGGCGGCGCAGTTGGCGGTGCAGGCGGGGTATAACCCGGACAGAATTGGGGTGTATGAGGGGAGTTGGTTGGATTGGGCTGATAAGGGGGGGAGAGCGGAGAAGTGGGAGGGGCCCGAACATGAGTAGGGCGTGCTATGTAGTAGTTGACTGTAGCGATGTCGATGTACTTGGGTTACCCTGTCAAGATACTGTATATAGGGGTGCTGATGAGCTGTTTACCAAACTGCGATTGACTACTGACTGATGCTGTTGCGATGTAGGCCTAGGAGGGATTGTCGGTCTACATTCTAAAGATATGTCCTATGCACTTACTGATACTATGGGTTAAGATATAGACCAAAGGGAATTCATTCAAAAGAAAATATCATTATAACAGAAACATGACAAGATACAGACCATATCAACTCATGTCATATACAGGCATATATCGCTTTTGGGAAATCAAAGTCATCGTCATTCTCCATGCAAGTCTAGCACTTTTTGACTTTTTTCTTCCTGCGGAGATCATTGCGCTTCGTTGATGAGGTAAAATAAAAGCCTCCCCAGGTTGAGGAAGCAAATGCTAATTGTCCACAAGCCCAAGTAGCCTCCTTTGAAGAACCACCACGGAACTCGCTACATACAATGGTGCCGTCTGTGCCGTAGTTGCCATCAAACCATGTCTGATAACCTCAAGCAACCAGGAGCATGTGGGATTGTGGGCTTCCAGCAGGACTGTCACACCTTGGACGAACTCAATCAAGGAATGTCGAACACGGGCTTGAGCTTCTTGATAAGAGCCCATTCCTCCATCGATACGTCGGAACGGTAGAACTCCTTGAGGGTGTCGATACTGGCACGGGAGATGTGCGAGTAGAGGGTGTCCTTCTCTTCCAGTTGACGGCCGTACATAGGCTGGTTGGCTCCTTCGATCTTGACGGCGACGGAAGGTTGGCCCTTCTTGCAAACCTGGATCGGCTTGTGGTCACGCTCAATAGACACACTGCATGGACCTGATTAGCAATAGGAACGTCAAATCGGGGTCAAAGTAAACTTACACTCTGCCAAGATCGATGATCTCCTTAGCACCCGTAGTGGGGTTGGTCTTCACAGCGGAAATTGGCGTGTGCATTCTCAAGCTGCCTTCAATAACATCCAGACCAATGACGATGGGGTCTTTCTTGTTGAAAACAGCAACGGGCCTGAGCACACAAGGGAAGACAGCGAGCAGCTTGCTCTCTTCCTTTCTCTTCTCGGTCAACTCTGCCATGTGCTTGGTGAAGTCATCAAATAGGTGGTAGATAATGTCGGCCGTGAAGATCTTGACGCCAACTTCCTCTGCGTATGCAGCCGCTTCCTTGTCCACCTTGACGTCGAAGCAAAGCATGACAGCGTACTCCTTCGCCTTCTCCAACATGGTACCACACATCATCACATCACGCTTGTAGACAGGACCGATGGAAATGTTGGCGACAGGGATCTTGGAGACACGCAGGAACTCGAGCAGAGCCTCGAGAGAACCAAGGGTAGAAGCCTGGACACTGACACCACGCTGGTCACGGGAAACCTTGCTCAGCAGGTTCTCCAGATCGGACATGACTTCTTCCTCAATATCCTCCTCGTCGTCATCAGGTCCAACAACCATCAACCGCGAACCGGCGATGGCATGCTCGAGGTCGTTGGCAGCGATCTTGACACCAAGAGCGGCCTTGACCTCCTTGTTGTGAACATACTGCGACTTGAGACGGAGTTCCTTAAGGGGAGCTGGTGTCAGCAATGCTCGAATATTCGTTGCTATGGGGCCGTTTAGACCGCAGAGCACGATTCGATCACCCTCACGGAGAATACCGTTCGAAAGGACAACGTCAATGGTGGTACCAAGACCCTCAATAACCTTGACTTCGAGAACAGTACACTCAACTTCGGACAGGTACATGAGCGAGTTGGTCATACGCTCCTGAGTCAGGGTGGTCAACAGCTTCAACATGTCGGGAATACCCTCACCGGTGTGAGCGGAAGTGGGAACCAGGGAGACATTGCGGGCCATGGACTTGTTCTCATAGTAGAGCTCGGCGTTGAAACCTTGCTCGGCGAAGAGAAGCTTTGTGCGCTCAAGACGGGTGCGGAATTCGTTCTGAACACCCTTGCTCTGCATGGCCAAACTGTCCTGGAAGCCGTTGTTGTCGATCTTCTTCCAGCCATAGAGACGGTCAATCTTGTTCAGGGCCACAATGAAAGGAGTCTTGCGATCCCGAAGCAATCTCATGGACTCCAAAGTCTGAGGCTCGAGACCATGCATGATATCGACAACCAGAATGGCGATGTTACAGAGAGATGAACCTCTCGAACGCAAGTTGGAGAAAGACTCGTGACCAGGAGTATCGATGACCAGCAAACCGGGAATCTTGAAATCGAACTTGCCATCCTTGTTCACCACAGCGGTCTTCTGGCGCAAAGCGTCCACCGGGAAGTATGTAGCACCAATCTGCTGGGTAATACCACCAGCTTCGCCCTCTTGCACGTTGGTCTGTCGGATCTTATCCAGTAACTTGGTTTTACCGGTATCGACGTGTCCAAGGATACAGCAAATAGGAGAACGCAGATTGTCCTTCGAACGAGCGGCCAATGCTTCCTCATGCTGCTTCTTCCTCCGCTCGGCAGCTTCGGCCTTTCTTTGAGCGATAGCCTTCTTCGCGGCAGACTTCTCCTCATCTTCTGACTCGGATTCCGACTCATCCTCTGAATCTTCCTCGGATTCGGACTCATGCACCTCGGCCTTCTGTTGGGGTGCAGCTGCGGGCTTGGCCGCGCCGTTTGTGGCTGGCTTCTCTCCCTCGTCCTCAGAAGGAGCATCCCAGCTGTCCTTCACGTCTTCTTCGGCCTCAGCAGCCTTCTCCCAATCATCCACTTCGCTCTCCTCGTCACCAGCAGCAGCAGCGGCGGCGGCGGCGGCAGCAGCAGCCTCAGCCTCAGCTTTAGCCTTCTTCTCTTCTTCCTCCTTTTTGCGTCGCTCCTCCTCAGCCTCACGTTGAGCGCGAGCACGGGCAGCAGCAGCTTCGAGGTCTTCCTCCTGCTTCTTGAGACCCTTTCGCTTCCTGTTGTCGTATACGGGTTTCTTCTTCTCGATTCCCGGCTCCTCGAGACCAGCAACCTTACCCACACCGGCTGCAAGCATCTGCTTCAAGCGAAGTTCATTGCGCTCCTTAGCTTCCCTCTGGGCCTTGGTGAGAAGCTTTCCTTCCCTTCGGAGCTGCTCCTTCTTTTCCCTCTCCTTCTCCTTCTTCCGCTGGCGAGCTTCTTCCCTCTTCTTCTCTTCCTCGGCTTCGCGGCGCAGTCTCTCCTCCTCCGCGGCCTTTTCTTCAGCTAAACGTCGCTCTTCCTCTTCACGTTGTTTCCGGAGAGCCTCCTGTTGCTTCTGAATAGCGGCAAGATGGGCGGGGAGCTTCTTCTTCTTGCCAGGCGCCTCAGGAGCGGCGGCAGCAGGTGTGGGAGCAGCAGCGGCGGGTGCTGCCTCTTCTTTCTTCTCAGCCTTGGCAGGCTCGGCCTTGGGCTCGGGAGCAGTAGCCTTCTTCTTTAAGGCCTATACAGATATTCTAGATCAGCACTGTACTCACATAATTTGCAGGGGGCAATAGTGCACCAGACACAACACATACCTGCTCCCTCTTACGCTGCTTCTCTCTCTCCTTCTTTTCCCTCTCCTTCTCCTTCTTACTCTTCACGCGGATCTCGCCATCGCCTTCGACTGAAGCCGGGGCCGGAGGTGTAGCCTTCGCAGGCTTCTGGTTCTTCTTTCCGGCGAAAACGTCCTCCTCGTCGAATGTACCTTCCTCAGGCTGCTTGCTGGAGAGATCGACGACATCACCATTCGCCTGCTCTGTCGCATCCTCGCCCTCGACGAAATCGTTGACCGGCTTGCCCTTCTTGGCCTTCTTGTTTTTGTTCTTTCTCAGGGCAGCGAGGAGACCGCCACCCATGCCATCCTCTTCGGGGGCGGCGTCTGCAGTAGACTCCTCCTTAGGCTGCTCACTGACGGGAGTGATACTTTCTCCCAGCTCGGCCTCCCAGTCGTCATCCTGCTTTCTGTTTCCCTTCTTCTTTGGCGCCATTTTCTAAGTTGCAATGATAGGAGCGATCGGGGTAGTGAGTGCAATGAATCGATAAAAATCACCTAAAGACCTAAAAAGTTAGTATAAAGGCGATTTCCTTTGTTGTTGCAATAATCGTAAACGAGCAGTGGCGGGCACACGAACAATATCGATGTCTCCGAGCAGCGATCCGCGGCAACCGATTGAATCTGACCACGAGGAGCGGCGGCGAAAAAAGATGGCCGGCCGGAAAATCTCCTCAACGAGAGAAATGAAAAAGAGAGACGGTGAATACAGAGAACCACTTTTTTCCCCCCTCTTCTGGTGGTTGATAAGACTCGAGCGGCGGTCGGGTGCTCTTGGAGAAATAATAAGAATTTTGGGTTGGTTTGGTGGGGACTCCTGTTATGCGAGCCGAATCGCCGCCAGTTGGTGGCACGACACTGCCATTACTCGCCACCATCAATGACAGCCAGCAGAGCAATAGATTGTGCTTTGTGTCTGAAAGTTCGAGTCCCTTTTATTCAAGGCTAATACGATTTCATCTACTCAGGGCTTCCAAAGTTACTATGTTGAATCTATCTATGCTCTCCATGTATCGAATTATGAGAATGCTTTCATTGCTACTATTACACAAGAAGACGATTAGCGCTCTCTTCCCAACAATTCGAGAAAGGTCATAACTGGATGCATTGAATATGCTGTCTCTGTCATATTCAGAACTCCACTTGAACGGCCTTCTCCAACCATCTCATGACCTTTTCGACTTGGTCAGGGGATTCTCCCAGCAGATTGTTGGACAGCTCAGTGAATAGCTCCAGAGTGGCTTGAGCAGTGCCGTTTTCTGGAAAGGCTGCGTCTTCAAAGTCCTGGGTCGTCAACATTTTTGTCAAATAATCCGAACCACGCATCGCGAGGCGACTCAGTATATCGCCATCGATGTGCATGTGTGAGGGCTGGGGCTCTGCGATGCCATTCGTCGCCGGGTTGCGTCTTCGTTTCCTTTTGGGCGTGAAAGGGCATAGTATTGGATCTCTAATACAGAGATTCTGAAGTAGACGTAGCAAGCGCCACTCTTTCTCATCTAGGATTAAAAAGCGGTATGCTATCCCGTTCATAGCAGTGCCATAGTACACCTGGGATGAGCGAGAGAATGGGGATGGTTTAGATCCTGAGCTGAGCTTCATCACGGATGAGGGAAGATGTGCTTCACACAGCGCAACCGGCATCATCTTGTCGTTGTCCGTGATACCATTCTCTGAAAGTATGCTGACTCGACCGCCTCGGCTAGTGGTGATCGTCAAATTAAACTCACCACCAATGTGAATATGAGAGAGTCCATCATGCTTCTGACGATCGTAAGCATGGAGCAGCAATCTGTCTTCGGAGGATTTGAGCACCATCAGGGACTCCCTCGATGTCGACATGTATACATAAGGTTCATGGCAGCTTAAGGAAATCGCTGGGGAAAGCATTGGGTACCTCGCTGCTCGAACACGACGTGTCTGTGACAGCTTGGGCTCCAATGGTACGATCTCATGACCCGTCGAGACCATCAATGTGAAATCACCGTATGGAGCAATCGCATAAACAGGACTCTCAAATTTATGGATATATTTCACGGAGCATTCAATCCTCGAGGAGTCGGACGAGCTGCGGGACGCTTGTAGAAAAATGACTCGTCCCCGTTCTTGCTGCTGTTTCCTAGCTGTTCCGATGACAATGAAGTGGTATTCTTCATCACCTTTCTTAGGTGTCCATTCCAAGATACAACTGATCTTCTCCCCAGCCGCTCCGTGAGGTCTCCACGCCGAGTAACCGTCTTCAGAGACGTCAACGGCCTTTGAGACTCCGTGTTGCGTATCCGGCTCCACGAACTCAATGAAAGGCCGAGTCAGTCTTCTGATAGGATCAGATTCGGTGTCGAGTTCGGCCCGAGTGTACGCGACAATCAGGCTTCTCAGATAGTTGGAATAAGCTAACTTGCTTGGGCTTCCAGGTAGATCAATCCTTCGAGGAACTGTCTTCGCTGCGTGATCCAGTGTGCAAATCAAGAGCTGACCGTCGGCGATGCAGAACAAGGTGTCGGATTCGCCATCGATGTTTGGATCAATGATCTTTGCCATGGCGAAACTGTGGACGTTTCCTGGATGATACGCAGGCTACAAAATGTCAGGAGAAGCGTGGGAGTTGAAGATGGGAATGTAGTCTTACGTTATTTTGATCGGTGACCCATATCCTCTGCAAGTGAAGGTTAGGGTCTAATACGCCGTCTTTCCGTGAACACGACGCCTGCCAGAACCCATGTCCACAGGTCAACAAAGCGAAGTGTCCCCTACTTTGTATCTTGACAGAAGTATTCCCAATTCGTCGGCGGCTCGCTGGTTTGACCTCTAGGAAAAAAGAATACGCCTATTAGCGAAGCTCTGAGATTCAAAGTCAGATTCAACGTACCAATTGCACATTTCTTGTCACCATGGCCTAACGTCATCTCAAAAGGGGCAAAAATACCACTTCTTAACCCACAGAGTATTGTGTACTTCTGGGAAGGTCCGTCGGTGTCAATGGCGACTACAGCAAGACTTTCGATTGCTTTCGATAGGTCGTCCCCGTTTTCTACATCAACGGAAACTTCTGACAGGAGCATGGCTGAGTCTTCGAAGCTGTACATCAAGACTTTCCCATTGCCAGTGCCAACAAATATGAGAGTAAAGGTGCCCAAAACCTCAATGAGAATGGAGACAGGTTCATGGGGTAATCGTAAAGGCTGACCAATCTCGGATAAGTGAAGCTGGTCCTGTGAAATGTTAATATTCCTGAGAGAGAGGTGCATCTCATGTCGTGTTCGCACAGCAGACGCAATTAATGATGCCGAGCTGTGGACCGCAGCAACAGCAACACTTTGGTCAGAGCCAAACTCAAAGCGAGTCCTCAGAGTGGACTCATTGGCTGTACCCAGAAGAATCGCCTTCTCAGTGATTTGGACGAGTACGCCGGAGCTGGTGCATCCGGCTGCCAAGGTCTGGGTACTAAAGTCTAACCCAGAATCTGCTTCGTCTATAGCACACATCTCTTCCCCGAAGTCCGCAGACAGATACAGAAGAATAGAGGAGACGGGATCGGAGATCAATAAGTAAACACCTCCATTTATGTCATCCGACATTGTCCAAATATCCCTCGTGCTTGACAATTCTTCAAGGGAGACGACCAAGCCAATCTGTGCCTCCAAGCCATGCCGAAGTTCGAATATTGCACCTCGCCCATAGGAGGACGCGGAGCACACGAATAATCGGTCTCTGGCTGTGTCTGAGGACGACGAATCCTGGCCAGAGTTTACAATAACGGAATCCGTCACTGGGGACCAGTTGATGAATTTTTGGACACATCGAGGTTCGTCACGAGCCTTCTGAACAAAAAGGCCACCGTCTCCTGTGGTCCCAGCGGCCAAAAGGAGGTCTCCACCTTCATGACCAATATCGAGGATATCAAATGCAGCGTCGACGTCGCAGCAGAGTTGCCCCAGATGTGCTTGATTTTCCAGTTCACCTTCGTTGCCGATTCCCAGGTAAAAGACCCTACCATCCTCACGGCAAAGGTAAATGTCGTCGTGTCGCTGGTTATACGACCAATTGCGCAATGGCCTTGCCCAACGCGTCCACAGGGGTGCTTTTTTAGATTCGCGATCAGGCACAGGAAGAGGATAGCGACTGGGCTGTCTTCGTGGGTCAAGCCTATTCTTGTAGACAGCCATTGAAGTCGTTGTGATTAACATAAAGGAGGATGTCTTGGTCAACGGAATCAACATCGTGGGTAACGTGTCTTCAGGAGGAAGGAACCTCTTTGTAATTCTCGGAGACGCTTGTCGTATCGTCTCGTCTGCGTGCCATTCATAGCAGATAGCTTGCGTCACCTGATTCTGTGAGACCAAGAGCAGCAGGATAATTTTATCACCATCTTCGGCTTTCGGGTACAAGAACTCCATGAACAGGATGTCGCCTTCTACCCGGAAGAAGCGTTCCTATAGAAGTGTTGCTGCGGTGAGAATCCGGAATGAATATCGAGCGCTGCATTGAGGTGCATACCTCTGTGATCGGATCCAAGTGACTCGAAGCCATCTGTGACTGGAGAACAGGCGGCTTCTTCAACATGAATACTCCAAAATAATCGGCCGAAGCACTGACTGCTACTGCACGGGACCTTTTCAATCCATTAGACGGGTGGTTGCAAGTATCGAGATAAGACTTACCGCGGCTCCACCGCGATGTTCCGCCCAAATCTCTCGAATGTACTGACATCATTTGGTAAAGGTCGGTGATGGTGAATGAAGTGGCCGCTCGTTGACGAAAAATAAAGGAAGACTAGTTCTCTCGATGCAAGACTGAGAACCATTATTTGTGGTGGGAGTTCTTGCCGCGATCCAGGATCCGTGACAGCTGCTTTGCTGGCTGCCAGCTTCATCTGGGCCTCCCAAGGTAATTCTGTGCTCACATTGATGACCTTCGCTGCCATGATGTAGGAATCGAAGTCGGATTTTGAATTGACGTCTTCCAAGTGGACACCTGATAGCGCTTCTTTGATTTGTATGTGCCTTTCGCCAACAAAGACAACATCATTTTGGTGCTTGCTTCTCAAGCGCGCTGGTAGAATTAATTGGATGATGGGGCTGGATACCAGCGTCTGTGAGAGCAACCCAGCCATGGGTTTCGTAGTTGATGGTCCTTCTTGCTCTATATCCATTTGATCCATATCCTGTCGCTTGCTAGAAGCATCAAAACCTCGGTCAGACAGTGGAAGGGACATGGCGACTCGACAAAATCTCCAGCGACAACGATGCTGGCAATGATATGAAGGTGAATGGAAGACTCTCACGGAACGCTAAGTCTCGCACAGAGTTTAGTAGTCAAGTAGGTGCCTTTGTTCACGAGCCAGAGTAGTCTCAATGCCTGGTCCCATTTTGAGTCCGCTAGGGGAGCTTGGAGCAGTCACAGTATAGCAAAACTATATGTGGAGTGCAATAACACCCTTCACTTTTACTCTCGGATCCTAAGTCAGAACGATGAAACCGACCAGGAAAGGTTGATGAACGCCCTTTGAAGGGACTGCAACTGTGACTCAGATGATGCTTGCAGCAATTCAATTGCCACTACTAATTTGCCGAAGAATAGTCAGTATCCTATCCTATGCCCCTCCTTGTAGTTGCACCACTATTGTGGCTTGTACGGAGGAACCCGGCGTCTCTGCTCCTTCCACAGCTAAGCCACAGTCAACCCGTGATAGCATAGACCGAAACCAATGCCAATATCTTTAGATGGGAGATTTAAAAGGAGATTCACAGTTCCGCTCTCGTCAGAGCTCAGCAATATGTAACTGTTCCCTTTCCTTCTTTGGGCGGTGGATGGTTCAATCAAATCACGGGACATCCCATGATGGCGGCCTGAGGCCGGCAGGTTTGCCATTTCTGGCTGCGCGCATCAACTTAACGAAACTCGGAGCCTACGTTGATTACTGCCTTCAGATGCGCGCTTGGTGCTGTTCATCATCCTATAGACGGATCGTTGGTGTTGTCCAGGAATTACCAAAGTAAATATCCTCGCTTATGACAATGTTTCGTTTCCAATTCAGGAGGCTCATCTTCATTGCGTAATACCCAGCCTGTCTTAACCCTGCAGACAGGACACAACGCAAGAAGTGCACTTCTTATCTTGGCAGGCATTTGATGCCACAACCCTATCTCGATCTGTTAAGAGATGATATTCTGTGCCTCCTATTAAGGAGCGAGCTTTCATCCGTCCATTTGCCGAAATGGATGACTCTTCCACTACGCAGCCAGAAGGAACCCTGGACGAAAAACAAGGAGTACCTAGAAGCGATCCTACAGGAACGGTGTTGGATTCAGACAATGAGGATATCGCTCGGTCCAAGAAAGAGGAAGCGGTTCGAAAAGCATGCGATTTACGTGATTTAGATGCTCTCGTCTCGTATGCGACCTCTGAGGGCGGTCTCTTGAACGATGACCTCAGGCGATTAGCCTGTAAGTTTATAATGAACGGATGTAAAATATCTTGGTAACATCAAACTAGGGCCCATTTTTCTTCGAAGCGACAGAGATGTACAAGATTCAGATTTCGCATCTTGGGAACACCTGCCTTCGCATGGAGATGAAGACCAGGTCCAACTGGACGTAAACCGGTCGTTTGTGTACTATCCTCAATGTACAACTCTCAGGACCTGCAAATTCTCGCTATCGTTGGCTGAACTTATTCATAGGCGCTGAGGATGAACTGTTGCTGAAGAAGGATGAATTGTCAATTCTCATCAGGGGAGTACTTCGGAAATACCCGATGCTTTGTTACTTCCAGGGGTACCATGATATCGTGCAAGTACTACTTCTGGTTCTTGGTGAAAAGGAGGCAGCCCCAGCTGTGACCAATATCTCCTTATTCCGAATTAGGGACTATATGCTGCCGTCTCTCTCCCCTGCGCTGAAGCATTTGCAGCTTATCCCCGCGATTATCGAGAAAGCTGATCCGGCGTTGCGGGAGCACCTCGGAGGCATAAAACCATTCTTTGCCCTTGCAGCAACACTCACATTGTATGCCCATGATATCCAGGAGTACAGCGACATTGCACGACTGTTTGACTTCCTCTTGGCTACGGAGCCTGTCGTGTCTATCTACCTCTTCGCAGCGATCATACTCTCACGCAAGAAGGAGCTGCTGGAGATTCCTGCAGACGAACCTGAGATGTTGCACTTTACTCTTTCAAAATTACCACAGCCTCTAGATCTGGATAGCCTCATATCGAGCGCTATGCAACTGTTTAATGATTACCCACCTGAGTCTTTGCCTTTCGGGGCTTGGAAGAGGATCTCTCAGCACAGTGTGCTAAAATCTTCGCGGGACCCATTCAATAAGCAAACCAGAGACGAAGCGATACGACTGCTCGAGAAACAAGTACGACAACTGCATAACGAGGAACTAAGAGAAAAGGCCCTCACCTTCTTGTGGCATCACAGGAGGACGGTCGGGTCGGTGGCAGTCGCCATCTTCATCGGAGTCATGTCTATCTGGATCCGAAAGAAAGGGTTCGATACGCCCCTATGGTCGTATTTCGCTGGATTGAAAACGAATCTTCGCAAGTGGCTTCCTATGATTTCGATGTGACTGCGCTTTTACTATGGTGCCGACGAGATACAGTAGATGTGAGGAGACATGAAGAGTTTCAATACCGTGAAAATGTGCGAGTATGTACAATAGTACCATTAATCAAAATAATTTTGCTTGAAAATTAATCTGTCAAAGGCCATTTCTACTGTTCTACATCCAAGACTAGGATGCATACGCATACGTAGGTGTCTCCACAGTAGCTAGTGGCTGGTGTGTGGCTTTAACAACAGCGCCCTGACAGCTGATGTGTACTCTAATTTCCTGCACCTCTCCATTCGTGATCAACAACAGCTCATTACAAGAACAAAGCCAATATGGCAAACCGGGGTTACGATGTGGTTGTAGATGTCGATGCTGAGGTAAAATTGATTTCAATACTCATACCTTTGCGAACACTTGGTCTAATGTTGCTCTAGGGCGACCTCGGTCATACCGACCTCCAGGAAGACCTCGAATTCCACCCATCCAGTAAGGCGAATTCGCAAGGAACTCTACTTCCCCACCTTTCAAGCACTGACTGTTATATCTCCGATCGAAAGACTATGAAAACGACCCCCAAAGCGCAAAAGTCCAGCAAGACTCCGCTCCTTTCCTCGGCGCGGGCACCTCCCGCGGCCGCGACAGATCCCCCGGCGGCACACCCTCCAAACACGCCTGGTGGTCTATCCACTACTACTCGCAGTTCTTCGACGTCGATACAAACGAAGTGCTACGGCGATGCGTGTCGGCGCTGTACCCACGCACCAACTTCCTCGATGTCCTAGAAGGTAACGCGGACCTGTACGGTCCGTTCTGGATCGCAACAACGGTGGTCGTCATCCTCTTCCTGACCGGCACGATCTCGCAATGGCTCTCGAACAACAACGACAAGCATTTCGAATACGATTTCACGCTTCTTTCGGGTGCTGCGGGGTTGGTTTATGGGTACACGGGCGTCATCCCCATCGCTCTGTGGGGTGCGTTGCGCTGGTTTGGTAGCTCCACCGCGGACTTGATCGAATGCTGGGCGTTATACGGCTATTCGAATCTGGTTTGGATCGCTGTTGCGCTGGTGAGCTGGAGCCCTCTCACGGCGCTCAACTGGGCTCTTGTGGGTGTTGGCTTCGGCTGGACAGTCTTCTTCCTGCTGAGGAACTTGTACCCTGTTCTGAGTGCTACGGATGCGAAGACGAGCAAGATCCTCTTGATCTTGGTTATTGTTCTTCATGCGGGTTTCGCGATTGCTATCAAGATCTTGTTCTTTGCGTAAGTCGGGCTGTTTTGGATTAGCTGCTCATTTACTAACGAGGTGCAGACATGCAAGTCCCGTTTCCAAGAAGAGCAAGGACCACGATGATGACGACCATGACGACAAGCGACGGATGTTCTGATCTGAGAGGGCCGAATGTGTTCGATTTACAACGTTTACCCGGTGTCTTTTGAGGCACGATGTTGGCTCAGGCAGCACAACGTCATTCTTCCCGTGTTATCTGTACCTCAGTCTCATATGTCTCTGTATGGTTTCTTTTTGAACGCAAATCTGTACTCGTATTTCCCGCGGCATAGCATCGAGAGAGCAAAATTGAATTTTACAGATGTTCGATTGCGCAACTTCTTTCGAGAGGGGTCAACTAAAATATGTGACTTCGGCTATAATGTTTCATCATTCCAACGCCTTTTAAAACCTCCCATGCAGCAACCACGTCATAGCTCCGAGCATCTCTTTCCCCCAGCAACGCGGAAAAACCGTAACAAGATAGTAATCGTTTACTTGAGCTTCTTCTTGGGGCGCAGCTGGTTGGTATGACCGCACTTCTTCTTACGGCAGTTGGTGGCACGGGGAGGAAGACGGGCCTATCCAGGGATAGAGTTAGTAAAGACTTCAAGGCGAGCGTCCCCAGTAACGGGTCACATGTCGGGTCGAGCGATCGGGACAAAGACGTACGTAGCACTTGCGGCAGATGGACTTCTCGCAGTTGTACTTGGAAGCGAGAGCCTTGAGGGAGGGTTCAATGATACCACCACGCAGACGGAGGACCAGGTGCAGAGTGGACTCCTAGATATGTGCAAAAGCATCCGGTCAGCCAAACACATCCTTCTCAATAACCGTATATCCTCCATAACAATCCAGACGATCTCCTAGCGCAGACGTTTCCTGCCGGAGGATCCGGAAACCAAGTCCAGCAATCCAGCAATCCAGCGAACAACCCGCATCTTCCGGCAATACCCCATGCGCATAAAGAAACGAAACCAAGTCGTCGTCCGATAGAGAATTCGCGTACCTTCTGAATGTTGTAGTCGCTCAGAGTGCGGCCATCCTCAAGCTGCTTACCGGCGAAGATCAGGCGCTGCTGGTCAGGGGGGATACCCTCCTTGTCCTGGATCTTGGCCTTGACGTTGTCGATGGTGTCGCTCGACTCGACGTCGAGGGTAATGGTCTTACCCGTCAGGGTCTTGACGAAACTATTGATCGAAACTTGTCAGTCATGGCTTTTCCGGATGTTCCGCGTATATCGTGTCGATGAATGGGATGAGGTTGGGCAAATGGGCACTGGGTTGGTCCGAACGGCTCAGGAAGACCTACATCTGCACTGTAAAATCGCAGAAAAAAGGGTATGTTAGCTCGTAATCCATAGACCAAATACATCGCGTAGGAGAACATGATGCTGTACGTACTGGTTGCGATTTTTCGTTGTTGCTGGCTGACGATCGCTGTATACTCGTTCGTAGGAGGCAATGTCAATTTGAGGATTTCTCGCTTAGCCTGGGTGGACCGACGCTATGATACCCTAAGCCCTAATGACTATTTTCGTCATCACCTTTAGTTGCCGCCGGTCGGCAGGTGCCACTTCCCCGTTTCGGATTATCTCCGCATTTCCATACATCGAACGTCCAACTGCATACCCGGAACCTGTCTTACGTTGCTGGATGCTCATCGAATGTTCAGTCAGACAGAAATTTGTCGTAGTTTGACTCACTGACGTTCTCTTTGTAAAAACACTCCCTTTTTCCGCTAGGTGCCTGAGGGTCATATGGCTTAATACTTAACTGGGAATTGCTATCTACCATATCTCGAGTTAGGACTCGTCGCTCAAACCAGACATATCCTCATCCTCCATGGCTTCCAAGTCTTCTGTGCCCGCTTCACCAGTGACGTCCATTTCCGCAGGATCTCCATGGTGCTCAATCCTCCTCTTATCGTCCAACCACCGAGAGATTTTGGTCTCCGCCTGCGATACAGCTCTAACGAGTGTGGACAAAGAGACACCTGCTACTTTAGCAGCAATTTCGTAAAAGGACCTCGCCGTCTCTGGCAGTTCGGACTCGGTTCGATAACGTGGATACGATGTCCCCGGGCGAGCCACGTCGGCCTTAGGATCAGAAACTTTTCTTGGTTTCAGTTGGCTAGTAACTGTTTCCAGCATTGCATGCATAGCTTCATCATCTCCTTCTGTGGAGTCGCTAACAGTCTGGCCTTCCGAGCCCGTCGGACCAATCGGGAAGAACTCTGCTAACGGGTTCGACACTTCGGGGGATTAGCGTTCGTCAAACCTCGTAGGACGGAGTTGCAAGGTCATTTTACCTCTGCTGTGATCGAGCCAACTGGTCTCGTACCAGTCCATGTATTCATCTAATTGGTCCGGAGTCATGTTGAAGACGTCTTTCTCAGTGACGAGTATCTCATTCCCCTTTCCGATCCTGCCCCCAGCCGTTTCCCGTCTGTCGAAGTGTCTTTGAACTTGTTCCCAAAGCTTCCAGTCAAGCACCTGTGCGCTGGGTTCCCGTGTGGATACGGGATACCTCTTGATGTCGTCAAATGGGAAGAACAATTTTGTAGAAATGACAATAAGCGTAATAAGCTGCACTTCAGGCAGGTGAAGTGGCCGACTTCTACCGGGGACGGTAGTTGGAAACTCAAATGTGAAACTCACGAGACTTTGCAGCCTTTTAACAGCGGGATATATATCGACTGCATGAAGGTTAGAAGATTGCGAAATGAGAAATATCAAGCATGAACAGTTCGTACCTGGGAGCGCGAGACGTTTGATATAGCGATATAACGTGGCCGGTGTGTTCAAGGACGGGAATTGAACACCAAACTTGTTGTGATACAAGAGCGATAGCTCCAGGGTCGCTTTATGAAGATGCTCAGCCTTTATCAATCTCTATCCGAGGGTCAGTACTGACACAGTCGGCATCATGAAGGTAGAGGCTTACAGTAGTCTCCAAGAGAGCGATGTACTCCTGGGGTAATTTATCCCTCATCTCCCGTGGGATTAATCTGAGGACCCTGATGAAAGGAACATCTTCTCGCATAAGCATCCTGGAAAGAGTCTCAAAGTCAGATGTTCATTTTCGTTCTTATGAGCTGTAAAGAAGACTTACCGATGAAATTCTCCAATGGTGACCGGGAGCCTCATGAGCAGGCAGCCCAAATAACACAGTCCGATTGTGTCAATCAGTCTGGGCCATTGAGCCGCTCTCCCACTGAGCTTGAATGCTCCCTCGGACTCATCAAGCGTCGTGGCAGGCTGTGAACTAAAGAGTTCGGGTTCCCTATCATCTTCAGCAGGGTCGTTGAGTCGCTCCGACAGGCTTTCCAAACGAAGAGCCCAAAGATCTCGGACCACGACCTGAAACCAACAGTCAGACACTGCTATCAAGGATGATGGCTGGGCGAAGCATAGGTAGTTCCACTTACCTCAAGCTCCGCGGGAAAGCCTCGACCTTGAACCAAGGCGTGGCATTGTTTCCACAGAATCAATTGATAAATCTGCAAAAAAAGAGTGTATGCCTGTCGACCACGATACGCTGTCACACCATTAATAAAGGTGCAATCTTCTCAGACATGGTTATCGGATGCTCACTCTTATGGCCCTTTTCAGCTACAGCCTTCTTTACACGACTAGTCTTGCCCTGAGTGCCGAAATCGTCGGGATCTTCCTCCACTTGTAAACCCTGCAGAAGAAATTAACCATCAGAACTTAGAATGCTTCCGCGTGATGAATTGAAGAAGGCGGGGTTGGGCTGATTTGGCCGTACCTCCTGCTGATGACCCCGCCTGCAAAACCAGAGACCGTTGTCTAGATAATATCGAGTCTCACGGCACCCGTCCTGCCCACAGACCCCTCGGGTGGTGTACTCCATCCAGGGCGGTTGTGTTCATTCTTGAATGGTCTGGTGGGGTGGAAGAGTAGAGGGAGAAATTCTCAGGGTGTGGTTCGGTCCATAGGTGCTTATACCAGAAAAGAATTTTTGATACCTCGTATCTTGGTCAACTGGTCAGAACAATTTAATTTGACAACCCAGAATTATCTGAGCAATGTTCTGAATAAGAATGTTCGCCCTAGAGCTCAAACAAAGGACAATAGCTTGAAACCCGCAAAGGAAAAATTACAGAGCTACGCGTATGACAATGGTTGTCCTAATTAGGCTTGTAAATTTTTTGATCGTCAAACTATCGTAAGAGTAGGACCGCTTCCTGGCAGAGGGCACGTGATGCTGTCAACTTTAAGCAATTCCTTTCGCTGGTGCAGCGTACATCCAAGGCTATATTGGCGGACATAAGTCAAGCAACAGACATGCCATGAATCGCCCAAAACGTTGCATCATCCATGAACTAAAGGACATACACATAAAACAGGAGACCCTTGGAGACACAATGGCCGACGGAGCAAGAAGAGGTCCCTAAGTGTCGGGATCATTTATTTGGGAGCCTCCTTGACATCCATGCAGGCCTGCTCGCCCATGGCAGTGAGGATGGTGACGTCTAGGGTATTCCGTGTTAGTCCAACAATTCAAGTCTCAAGGCGCAATGCTGGGTACTTACTGCAGTCCTTGCCCTCCTCGTTGAACATCTTCTGGATCTTGTCACCAACCTCACCCTCGGGGAGCTTGACGTCGTCCTTGGTGTTACCGGCCTCGTCCATGAGGGAGAGGAAACCGTCGTCAGTGACATCAAGCTGCAAAGCATATCAGTAAGTCATCTGGAGGTGAAAATTGAGTTGGCTTTGGCAGGTCGACTTACGAGCTGGTATTCACGACGGGTGACGTTGGGAACGTCCATGTTGTGGGTGGAGGGAGAAAGATCTTCCAGCTTCTTGCCGGTGAAGATATCGAGGGCGACGATGTGCACCTTGGCGTGACCGTGCTTGCCAGTCTTGGAGGTGGACATATCAACGATCTTGCAGGGACGACCCTTGATGACAACGTGACCGTTCTTTCTCAGAGCGGAGCACTGCATGGGGTAGGTCGCGGACGCACCAGCGTCGGCGGACTCGAAGGTCTCATGCTGAAAAGAAATAAAGGTCAGTTGATGGTGTCCAGTCTGAAAAAGATGACAGTTGAAAACAGTCGTTGCTTGGTCGCTCGATGGTTGAGGTATGAAGCAGAAGAGGGGACATGTGCATGGATGCGGGGCAGCCTGAGAGTAGAAACGCAGCAAGTACACAGTGAATCAACCAAGTCATACCTCGTCAGCCATGGTGAAAGTGTATAAGGGTGAATGAGAATGGAGGATTAATGAGAGTAGAACAGGACGAAACCTGATTTGTTTTTCTTTTAAGATAGAGGGGGATAGGAGAGAAGAAAGGGAAGAGGAAAAAGTTTCTTCGAGAGGGTTTAGAGGAGACGGTGGAGGAACGGGCGAAAAGAAATCGACAAATCGCCTGCGAAAAAAATGGCAGTTTTGTTGTGGCGGGGTTTTCTTGGGTCGCTAGTCCCTAAAGCGGTTTAGCCTCAGACACGCTGCACTTGTGGTCTCTGGGCCCAGCTGTAGCATCTCGACCTGCCCATAAACAGTTGGTGATAGGAAGCCTGATAACAGACGGTACAGTATGTTGTGCATGACAGTCCTCTAATTTTGGAGAGACGGTTGAGATATGCCTTTATGTCTATAAGCTGTCATCTCTGAATTGACTGAGTTGCTGAGAATATCAGGAATCAATTGCATTGCATGCCTCCAGTGCGGAGAGCTTGCCAGGCATAGATCTATAAACTCCGCAGACAACCTTCGCTCGACTTCAATGAGGGCTGTGAGCTTCTCAATATCCGCACGCTGTTCCGTGCCTGCTTCCCAAGATGTGGCTTGATCGCATATCAAGTCACTCCACCCCCTCCGGTGTCCCTCTCGATAGTCGCAGCAATTCACCTGCTCCCCGACGATCTTCCTCCCTCCTGTCGCCTGCTCCACCGAACAACCGTCCGAGTCAGAACCGGCAAGGCTCCTCGTTATCCGTTCTGCTGACACCAAGTGACTCGACCACCTCTCTGCCGGCAACCGCACGCGGAGTCAATGGCTCGGTTCTCAAACAAGGTGCTGCAAGGTCCCGTCCTTCTGACGTAGCTGATCCGCTCGAGGTGCTGAAGGACATTATTGGAAAGCAGAAGGGTGACGTAGAGACAAATGAGTGTCTGAAGACGTCAGCCCCTGAAGCAAAGCCATTGCACTTGGTTGAGCCGATAGACTTCGGAGACCTTAGCCTTGAGGAGTTCGTATCTCAGGTAGGCGAGCCACGGAGAGCTACCTCCGCCGATGTTAGTGCACAAACGCTCCAGCAATTCGAGAAGGAAAGAGATAAGTATCAGGAACTACATGCTGCCATCACAAGCTGTGATGATGTCTCAAAATCGGTTGAGATGTATCTGAGTGACTTCCAAAGTGAACTTGGTGCTGTTTCGGCTGAGATAGAGACTCTCCAGACTCGGTCTGTACAGTTGAATGCGATGCTGGAGAACCGGCGCAAAGTTGAGCAACTTCTTGGACCTGCCGTTGAGGAAATCAGTATCTCGCCGAGAGCTGTTCGATTGATTGCCGAGGGACCCATTGACGAGAATTGGGTCAAGGCCCTGAATGAGATCGAAGCACGCATGACGAGTATAGAAGCCAAGGTTTCTGGTAGCAGTAGCACAAAAGCAATTGAAGATGTGCGACCGCTTCTGAATGATATCAAGAATAAAGTCAGTATCATTTCTATGAACCCAAACTTCGAGTCCGTGCTGACGAGAGTGACAGGCAGTGGAAAGGATCCGGGACTACCTAGTGTCCCAGATCAGAGCATTGCGTTCTCCGAACATCAATGCTCAAATTATCCAGCAGCAACGCTTGGTCAAGTTTAAGGACCTGTACAGTTATATCTCGCGAGCTCACCCTCAGCTTACGGGAGAGATTACGCAGGCATACATTAACACTATGCGCTGGTACTATCTCTCTCATTTCACTCGCTATCTGCAAGCTCTTGAAAAGATCAAAGTCTATCCGAGTGATAGGAACGATATACTTGGGGGAGACCCTTCCGCGCCGAAGACAGGTTCGTCATGTTTGTCCAGTTGCTCTTCTCTGCAGTCAAGGCTTATATTCCATAGGGCATATCATCTCCTCGGGTCGCTCTGGGTCCGCTGCGCATGACCCGTTTTCGCTGGGGAGACGTATTGACATACTTCGGACGAGTAACCACATGGCCTTGTCAGCATATCTCGCTGAAGAGGACAATGCGTTCCATGGAATTGAAGTCCCTTTCAGAAACTTTAACCTGGCTTTGGTAGACAATATATCGGCTGAATATTCTTTCATGACAGAGATGTTTTCCACTTTGTCGTTTCACCAGATTTCTCGGAAGGCCGCCGAGATATTCGAACCTGTTTTCGCTCTGGGGCAAGGTCTTACAAAGCAATTGATCGAGAACTCGACAGACTCATTGGGGGTGTTGATCTGTGTACGATTGAACCAGCAAGCGGCATTCGAACTGCAACGGCGGAAAGTGCCTGTTGCCGATTCCTACATCAACGGAATCAACATGCAGCTTTGGCCCCGATTCCAAGTTATTATGGACCTTCACCGGGAGTCCTTGAAGCGAGTGGCGTCCAACACCGGTCGGAGTGCTGTTTCTGCCCTGTCATTAGCTGGAGGCGATGACTTGACCCAATCTTCAGCACCTCACTTTCTCACACAGCGGTTTGGTCAACTCCTGCACGGGATATTAGTGCTGAGCAGCGATGCTGGGGATGACGAACCTGTTGCGAACAGTTTGAAGCGATTGGTCGCCGAATTTGATGGCCTGTTGACCAAACTTAGTCGCAGCGGGGGTGACGCAAAGAGAAGGGAGAAATTTCTGTTTAATAACTATTCTTTGATTTTGACCATCATCAGTGTAAGCCGAATCATTAACCCCCGGAATAGTGTCTGATCTCTGACATGAGCACAGGATACCCATGGCAAATTAGCAACAGAACAGAAACAGGTATGCAGCTTCCTAGTATGGATTTGGATATCGCTGACTCTTATAGCACCTGGACGAGATGCTCAAGAACGTTGGGAAACGAGGCTAGAGCTTGTGCTGAGTGTGTATTACACATGATCATATAGAGTGGGTTGCACGATATCTTCATAGCGAAATGGCATTATTTGTACATGCATAATTCCATAAGTCCTGACCGTTGACCAGCAACTACCGACATTGATGGTAGGAAATGCTTGTTAAGCGACAACATAGAGCGTAGCCAATAAGTGGTCATCGTAGAGTGTAGTTTAGAAATCCCCGTACTCGCACGATTCGGGTAATGGAGTCTTATCGCGGCCTTATCGGCCATCGGCCTCATCCCGATTCCACTTCGGTTATTGCGTCCCAGCCATGATTTATCTCTCAATTTCCTGAAAGTCGGAAAATATTACTTCTGCACATACCTTGAAACCAGAGCATAGTTTCAATACAGCCACAGCGATGGCTACCCGCGCTTGCATCGCTCTATCGAGGCCATTCCTCGCACGGCGCAACTTCTCAAGCACGCGGGCGTCCAGCGCAGACGTCACACATGCGGTAAGCCCCTCCCAGGACTTTTCTAAAGCTTAATGACAAAATACTCATTGATGACAAGGTGATTGGAGCTGGCGTTGTCGGTCTTGCGATCGCGCGACAATTGGCGTCGAGACAGGGTACCTCGACTATTCTCTTGGAGCGGCATGATGCAGTGGGGACCGAGACGAGCAGTCGCAATTCCGAGGTGATTGATTCTTGTCGTACTTCTACGCATAAGGACTAACGAGGTCACTGAATTGTCAGGTAATCCATGCGGGGATCTACTACGGAACCGACTCCCTCAAAGCGAAACTCTGCATCCGCGGCAAACAAATGATGTACGACCTCTGCGCAAAACAAGGCATCCCGCACCGCAACACGAAGAAATGGATCGTCGCGCAGAACGAAGAGCAATGGGCCGCCGCGCTGGGCACGCACAAGCTCGCGCAGACCCTCGGTGTACCCACCCGGCTCGTCGGCCGCGAGGAGGCCCAGCGGCGGGAACCCGAAGTCCAAGCTCTAGCGGGGATCGTGGAGAGCGAGACGACGGGCATCGTCGACAGCCACGCGCTCATGACATACCTGCAGGGCGACTTCGAGGACCGCGGCGGGGACTGCGCGTTCCTGACGAACGTGACGGGGATCGAGGCGCTGGATGGCGGCCGGGCCGGGTACAGAATCACGGCTGTGTCGGCGGACGGGGCCGAGACCTCCATCACGGCGGAGACGCTCATCAACAGCGCGGGAAACGGGGCTTGCGCGATCAACAACATGGTCCTGCCACGGGAGCGGCACCGCACCCCGTTCTACGCCAAGGGCACGTACTTCTCGTACTCGGCTTCGTTTCCCAGGACTTCCGTGCTGGTTTATCCGGCTACGCTGCCGGGCCATGGGGGGCTGGGGACGCATTTGACGCTGGACCTGGGGGGACGGATCCGCTTCGGCCCGGACGTCGAGTGGGTGGATGATCCGACGGATCTGAAGCCCAGTCCGGCGAGGCTGCAGCAGGCCCTGCCGGAGATCAAGGCGTACCTGCCGCGTGTTGCCCCGGAAGCCATCAGTCTGGATTACTGCGGCATCCGACCGAAGCTGGGCCGCGGCGGCGCCGTCAACACGGGCAAGGGGTTCCAGGATTTTGTCATTCAGGAGGAGGAGGGATTTCCGGGCTTCATCAATCTGCTAGGGATCGAGAGTCCAGGGTTGACGAGTTCGCTCGCCATCGCCGAGATGGTCGATGGGCTTCTCTATAGGTGAAGAGTGTGGTTTCGAAACTGGTGATTTAGCGTTTATTGGTACTATACCCGTTGCACATATTACTTTTATATACATATAGTACGATGGATAGATATACAAATAATTTAGACTCATACACTACTGCAGACCATATGAAGATACGGACCATCCAAGACTCAGCTTGTCAGACGCTTGCTCAATGCAGGAGATTACATTTCAACCTCTAAATTGTCATCAGTGCGCAGATAAACAATCTCACCATAACCCAAACATCAAGCTTATCTCCCGTCGCGTCCCCATCCCTGGTTCCTGACGTCAAGGCTATGGACCAGACCAAGGGTGGAGATAGTTATTCCGCAGGGTCAACAGAACGGCTCACTGTAAAGATTGAGTTTAAAGTTGATTCATGGGTCGCTCTGTACGACTTGGATTATCGATCATCCGGTGCAATGGGATCTTACCATTGATAGGGTTACATCATGGATAACGTGTCGCTCGGTCTAGGGGGATATATTCCCCATGTGGTGGGAGATTGCCACAGAACAACGGGTTTTAATATTCTCTATGTTGGCGGTTGTACGTCTCGGTGGAATTTGTGCAGGCATCTATACATCTGTCGATCGCTTAGTAGTGTCAGTGTAAACGCTGACTTGGTTCATTTCGTTTCATTTCATTATCTTGCCTGAGGCATCTACTGTCTCTTCTCTCATTGAGAAGTGGAAATGGCTGAAGTGCATGGTCGTCGAGACCCCAAGGTCCACAAGAAGACACAATCGCATTCACATTCACCAGCCTCAACTCCCACTCCCCCACACCATCGACGCCACAAGGCCAACGCCCACACCGGCTCTCACAAATACAATCGCTGCTGGGACTGGATCGTCGTCGGCGGCAACTGCCACTACGCCAAAAACCGGTCCACCTTCACCTCCTACCGCCGTGCACCAGGGAAGATCGGCCGGTCGCGAGTCCTGGGCATCGGCACGGTCGAGCTACAGGTCCAGCGTGGACCTCATGATCCTCGGCCGAACAAGCTTGTCCTGGACGATGTGTGGCACATGCCTGATGCGCGGTGCAACGGGCTGAGCGTCTCCAAGTATTCCGAGACCAATCAACCCTTGTCGGTTGAGTCAGAGGGCGCGCATGTTGAGGCGAAGAGTGACAGAGACGGGGAGGCATTGTGGTTCGGAGATCCCTATTGTGGGTGTTCGAGGGTGGTGTTGACCGGTGATCCAAAGGGAGATTCGTATCTCCGCGATGGGCAAATGTACACGCTGAGCGTCATTGCCTCACCGGAGGAGTTGGATAAACTGCGGAGTCGGGTTCGGCAATGGTGATGGTCTTGTCTTCACCCTCGTAGGACCTTGTAAATAACGGAATAATATAGACGTACAGATGCCGTTCAATCGCTGGGATCATGATTTAAAAAAAGGCTTCTCTATACATCATCTCAGAGGTCATTAAACACGAAGAAGCGCTTCGTATCAATGGTCATCATGGCATACTCATAACACATGACTTCAATAGACCTTGAAGTTAACAAAGCTGCTGAATAAGGGGCAGCGACGCAGGTCGTCCAGCGTCCGGAGGCGGACAGAACCGTGGAGTCATTCCCGAGGACAATTGTCAGATAAAGCTGACGAATAAGTTCGTAAGAACCTAGCATCAAAGATGCAGGCATAGCCGGAGTGATCGACAGCTGGATATCCCCCGAAGACATGCAGAGTCCAATTGATAGCCCTTTGAAGCGCGGTCAACAAGACCTTATTCAATATCCATGAGGACATCACTCATTATGTGAAGGACGTGAGAGAACTTTCGGACGCTCCATTTCCCAGAGTCCTTCAGGAGCCCCGCGTAGTCCAGTAGTATGCGCCGCGCAGATTGATAACCTCCTTGCACTGGTATTCCGCGAAGGTACAGTGTACCGCCATTACGAATGAAATTGACTGCTGAATTGTCCGAAGCGGTGAATGCATGGTTACCGCGAGGTTCCATAAAGCTGGTGAAACCCTCTCGCCCCACTTGCTGCCAGTCAACGTCGTCCAGGAGTTCCACGGAAATGCATCCGGCAGTGGTCTCTAGCGGACGTGGTGCCATGAATGTATACAGCCCCAGCACAAGCGCCGCAGTGAAGAGTGCGAGCATCGAGTGAAACATGGTATGATCTGATGCTTTGCGGTTGATCATGGCTTTGTATATTTGGGCCGCGTGGAGACACGACCTTCGGGCGGCTGGTGTCTGAGACCATACGGCGATATCATCGAGGGCTTTCCGGGCTGGCAGAGGACCTGACCGACCCGCAGCCAGTTCGAATATCTGGATGTCCGCAGTGAGTGTCATGCACATATTGTGCCACATGACCACAGCATTCGGATTAAGTCGTTCCAGGGCCTCCCTATATTTATCAACTATTTGCAGCTGAAGCGTTGGCAGGCATCTTGCACGGCCGTCCATAGCGTAGGTATGGCATGGCGCGAACGGGTAATTTGCTCGATTGGATAATAGGCGGTGGTAAGCCTCACAGAGCCGGAGTTGAACCATTGCCAACACCCCGTGCATGCACAGACCGTCGACTGAGTTATCCAGCGCTGGAAGGTCGACATTTTCCGATGGAGCAACCACGGTTGGCATCAAAATTCGCTTGCCAATGCGAATAAGCTGCATCCAATGCATGGCACTTTTCGCGTCAAAGATTGCTCCGTCACACGGTAAGATAAACTGTATTGCATCTGGTACGATTATGGGGCTCGTTGACAAGAAGGATGAGTACCAGGAGTCGAGTAGCAGAAGTCCGATGATAAGTCTGCACAGTGAGTCAGCAGGAGCCGGGCATCTTTCCACAGTTGAGATACGCACCTCTTCACAGACTCCACTTTGCTCCATGCTTTCCATCTTGCATCGACATCGGGAATTGCCTCATAGAGACTCATGTCGAGGATTTGTCCTTCCGTTGCAGCGAATAACCCATGTCTTTGCGCAGTCTGATGGCTGTTGGCATTTATCACTTTCACATAATGAGACAGATGAGGATTGGGCCTACAGTCATAAGGTTGATATACAACATTTGGCTTTTAGCAATGTGCTCCTTTTCCTGTGGACAAATCAGCACGATTCAGCCGGCTCAGTAGTGGAAACTCTTACCCCGGTCATTGCAGCCAAATTGAGGAAAAGAAAAGCCGCGGCAAAGGTAGACACCGTACCAACAGGGTTCTCACTTCCTGCTGCGCATTTGGCCAATTCTTCGGTGATTTTGTCAAGAACCAACTAGCAAACACAGGAACTCAGCAATATCACTTGACGATCAGACATCTGGACTCACGTTGAAATTCTTGGAGACAAACGATGTTGTTCCTTTTGTACCCAGAATGATCATACCAATCATACACATGACATAGAGCACTGGTGAGCGAGTCCTTTTTGCAGAGAATGTAGGGATATGGATGAACGGTACTAGCGGCTGGAAATTGCGAAGGTACAAGTCGAGTGCCATGTCCAGGATTTCAGCTGGAGGAAAGACTTGCGGAGAGCCAAAAGGTGCCTCAGACATGCGTGGAGCGTTCGAAGTATCATTTGACGTGCTGCGTCGAGCCTGGCCAAAGGTGGCCAGAAGATTCTGCCTGCATTCCTCGTCTAGCCCATACCTCAAATCCCCTGATAGCCCAGACGGACCATTGAAGGGTTGCCCCGAATACACTCCAAAAAGGATATTGTCCAGGGAACATGTGGCTACATCCCGCCACAAGGTGTTCATCAGGCGCCCGGTGTTATTTGTTGGGGTGAGCCAGTACCGCTGTACTCTGGCAAATCTCTCACTGGGAATGTTGCTCGGAGATTGGATGCTCGGGTTCTCAATCGGATGACCATTCTGCCGCGCTCTAGGCGACGCTGGTGCCTGATCATCCACGAGACTAACACTGGCGTCGCGCATGAGGTCTATCGGACTAGGATTTGAGGTGGTGTCGGCCCGGGGTTCCAGCCAGAATTGAAGGATGTCATTCGGCACTGGGCCGAATACGGGCGCTCTGTACGGGGACGGTTCGGCTGCGCTGACATCACCCCACCCGAGGTAGGCCTGCTGGTGATCCATCACCATGGGATTGAGCTGGGTTTGAGTCCGAGCCTGGTGAGCGGATATGTCGGCCAGGCAATCAAGAGACGATGACGGAAGCCCGTCCGGTGTTGTAAGGGAGATTTCGCGCGGCATAAACGGCACGATCTGTGCCTGCTGTGCGTCTACCGGGTTGACGCTCGGGATGAACTGACCGTTGCCGTTGACACGAGAGTGCTGTTGGTCATACGCATGAGTAGATGAAGTATGATGCTGGTCAGTCTTCACTACCCCGTTGGTTGCGCTTGACGACGCGGCATTGTGGCCTTTTGCATGGCGGCTCAAGACATCACTGTAGTGGAGATATTAGCATCTTCAATTTCCTGATCAAGTACTACCTTATATAAAGAGCAGATTGGACACGTGCATGACCCACCTTCGAGAGAATCGTTTGTGGCAGACATTACATTCGTAAGGCTTTTCCTTGGTGTCTGTACACAGAGCTATTAGAATAGATTGATTGCCTCAGTTCTGATAGATCTACTGACGAGACCGTTCGTGACGCTTGAAATGTTCCGTCTTCTTGAAGCGACGGTCACAGATGTTACACTTCTTCAAAACCATGATGGTTCTCGCGGGGGGCCGCGAGGGGGATAAATAAGGATGGACTTGGAGGCCTAAGAGTAAAGCTACATTATCGAAAACTGATGAAGGTGGGAAGTTGCAGGGGGATGGAAGCAGGAAACTCTCCGAGTGAAACCAACATCTCCGAAGTTTAAGGATCCTTCAGGTGCCTTAAGATCCTTAGGTAATGGCCGACGGTGAGGGGGATTGCTCTGTGATTTGCTGCATTGCCCCGTTCTGCTCAACTTATGACCGATCCGGTTAGTTGGTGTTGCTGTTTTTTGTTCGCTGTCGAATCTGGGTAATGTAATGTGGTCTAGTTGCAGTATTCTCATTTCTGACTTTT